GAACAAAAAATATTAAAGGTCGTGCATTTAGAAGCTTTAGAAGCTTCTGCATTTAGTAGTACATTGGAAACATTTTCAAAAGCTCAAACCCAAAGCTGTGTTACAGTGAGTTAAACAGTCAATATGTGAGCATTTCTGTTGCATCTAGGTATGTGTTCAGAGCTTTAAAAAGTCACATCCTGCCACAATTAACAGCCAAATAAGCATTCTTGGCCTCTGACCTATAAATAAACACTCTAATTCTGCAACTCACTGACAGACTCTGAAGAAGCTATTTGGGAACAAAAAGTCCACAAACTGGTTAGAAATCTGCAAACCAGAAATGCAATCCATTTGTCCTTTTTCTAATGATGACAAAAATTTGCATTGGCTTTTGGAATAGTGACTAAGAAGAGTGGACATCTATTTTCACAACTAGGAAATAGTTATTTGTAATATTGAAGGAATAAACTCTTCAGTAGGAAGACATGCAGACTATCACAACACAGCAGTACTCAGCTTCCACCAATGATTGTTTCCTTTGTCAGTGTGTCTAGACTCATTCGCTTTCTGTCAGGAGATATATGTCAGAGAGTATTGGCAGTCCTTCAAGAAAATGATTCAAAGGTGATTAAAAATTGGCTGGTGCTATCCCCTCATGCCTTTCTGCCTTATGTCTTAATTTTATGGAGACAAATTAAAGACATGAAGCCACTGTACATGTGCTACTCAAAATATACCGAGGTGCTTGGGCTCAGGTCAAAACCTACAGGATGTGGTCAGACTGACAAACAGAATTCTTCATCTGCCTATATGAGCACGAATGTCCTGGGAACGCACATGCTTTTCTAGGGACAAAATGTAAAACTCAGGCAAAATTGTTCGTAATTAAACTTCTCCCATTCTGACTGTGTGAATCGAATCCTCCTCATTCTTCCTTTCCCATGCCTTCTTCCTAGCTTTTTCACATCTGATATTTTTTTCTGGATACCTTTCTCCAGGTTAATTTTTTTCTGAAACAAGGTACATAGGTTACAACATACCTAAAGAAGGGGAAAAGCTAAAGAACATTAGTTAATCTTAGCTAATCTTTGGAGTATAAGCATTTAAGTTCACATTAAAAAAATTTAATTACACTATCTATGAAATGCACACTTAATAATATCACAGTCTAGGCACTTTGGATGAATCTTACTTCATAGTGATATGAACACTATGAACCCAAAAATGATTGCTATTTATTAACTACCTTTATTAATTAGTAGTGTGACAAATTTTTCAGTTCTTTGTGCATATGCCTGCTCTCCCTTCACCTGGATTATACATTAAACCTTCTAGTTATTTTTACCTATAGTATTCACACAGACCTAGAATCAGAAAGAAAGAAAAGGAGGGAAGGAAGGAAGAAAACTAAAGAAAGAAAAAAGAAAGAAATCAATTGTGGGTAAATTAAGATGTTAATTGAAATAAGATTCTATGCACTGTTCTTAGACTAAGAGGAGAAAAGAACCAAACACAGTGGCTTAGGACATTGTGCTTATGGCCAAGGTTAGAGTTGGGTCCCTGGTCAGAGGGTTTTTTCACAGTGTTCCTACCTCTGTTCCACCAGCAGAGGGTAACGGCTGTAATGATATGGATTGTTCCTGGCTCAGCATCTTACATGCAGAAGGTGCTCAATGATCACTGAAGGCATTACATGAACAAAAACATGAAAATCGGCCCACAGGACTCTCACAGAATGAAGTTAGCAACGGCAGGCTTCAATAGGTGAAGAACAACTCAAGAGGACAAAACCACTTAACTACTTAAGTGGTTAATAATAACATTTTGTTTACAACATTATAATCTAAATTCAAGGATGTGTGCATGTGAAGTTGCTTCAGTCGTGTGCAACTCTGCACCCTTATAGACTATACTCAGCCAGGCTCCTCTGTCTGTGGGACTCTCCAGGCAAGAATACTGCTGTGGGTTGCCCTGCCCCCCTTCAGGGGGTCTTCCTGATCCAGGCATTGAATTTGTGTCTCCTACATCTCCTGTATTGGCAGGCAAGTTCTTTACCACTAGTGCCACCTGGGAAGCCCAAATTCAAGGACAGCCACCTCTAACCTTGCTGTTTTGTCATTATAAGGTAATCAATTAAAGGAGGAAAAAATATATATCCAGTTAGTGTCAATGTGCTTGGCCAGGCATCATAGCCATGTGAATTAGTAAACATAATTGAGCACACAGCCATCCCCACATTCTAATTATGTCACCTTGGGGGACCAATGGTATAACCCTGAAATGGAGATAACCCCTTCAGTTTCTTTCTCCTACCACAGTTTTGTGCATATTAAATCAAGTTGTGAAGAGATCTGAAGATTAAAAATCCCTGCTTGTTATTGCTGTTAGCTCTCAGATTCAGCACCAAATCAGAAAAAGTTGTAAAAATCATCTCTATCCCCAGATTTTGCATTCTTCAGAATGATTCCCCTGAAGCAGTAAGATGAATTAGGTGAAACGGGTTTTGACTGCAATCACTTACAGGCAGGATTTATGAATGGAAACATGGGAAGGCCACTCTGGCCAACTGTGAAGCCCCACACTTTCTTCCCGGGCTATTTATAGAAAATTATATGGCCAGGGGGAAAGATCACGTTTATTTTTACAAGCCACTCATGACACGACTGAAGAACTCACTTCCTCTCTCTGGGAAGGTCACCCTCTTCACCTGAAGGTGCAGATACAAGAGTGACAGGAAAGAAGGGGACCCCCTCCACCCTGGCCAATTAAGTCAGCCTGAGTCAGCTTCAGAGACCAACCCACAGGGTGACAGGCATGCAAGTCAAACATCCTCATTTCCCAGGCATGACTGCTCCTTGAGATGTCACCTAGATCATGACTAACAAGTAAAAATAAAATGCATTACATAATAGGGTTCAAAATTCTACTGCTGAAATAGGTTGCACAGAGATAAGGAAGTGCATTTTGACTTATCATTTGTGCTACATTTCGAACAGCTGAATACTATAAACTAAGACTGAATTTTAAAGGACATAGCAACATGGAGAGTGTGAAAAAACATTTTATGTGAAACAATATTTTACAAGCAATTATATTGTGATTGCCATATTATCCCTGAAATATGTAGTATACCTGGAGAGTTCCATGCAAATGTGGAGACTGAGTACATATTTGCTGATTCTCAAAAATCATCTTTTACCTTGACTGAAATCTGATATCATTTAGCAAATAACATACATAGTTTCACAAATCATTCCTTGGTCTTATGTAGTGTATAGGGTACCTATTGGAATATAAAGTAAAGCCAAACCACTGTTTTCCACCAGAATGTCCTTTGTCAACGCTGTCTGTGGTACAGAAAAAACCAAGATGGAGCAGGAAAGGGAAAGTGCAGGATGGAAGAGACAAAGGGAACGAAGTGAGACTTTACTCCGCAGAAACCTTCCGGGGAAAGTGTGTCATCTTACTGAGCTCATGCATCATAATCACTTGAAAATGATATGGGTATAATTTTATCCTTAAGTGGCCTCTGCTTAAGGACAAAGACACAGGGCAAGAAGAGAATTTCGTTTGAGAACCTGGAAGATCACCAACAAAAATTGAAAACAACAGATACGGGCTTAATTTCTCAAACTCATCAACATTTTTTAGAAGTCTGTCTCTAGAAAGTTTCTTCTAAAAAGGAGGTCGAGGGATCGGGATGGAGAATACATGTAACTCCATGGCTGATTCATGTCAATGTATGACAAAACCCACTGAAATGTTGTGAAGTAATTAGCCTCCAGCTAATAAAAATAAATGAAAAGAAAAATAAATAAATAAATAAATAAAAAGGAGGTCGCTATTTTACCAGGAAGACCCAAAATACTTCTCAACCTGTTCATCCAGCTTCCAAACCAACATTCTTTGGGGTTCTAGAAGACAGAGCAATGACATGCAAATGAGTTTGCCTGAAGAAATAGCCTGATTTCCACAACTGTCCTTGAGCACACGTTCCGAATGAAGTCACAGCTGAGTATTAACATCCGTGGCAGGCACAACTCTCAGTCTCTGTAATGTAACCTAACAGGAATCTCCTTGCACTTTGCCAAAGATGAGACACTGACACCTATCAGCAGACTTGCAAAGTGTATTCATGATCCCATTAAGAGGTCCTAAGTCAAATACGGACATACGTGAAGTTTACGTCTGTGTGCAGTTAACACACAAGGATATTGGTTCCTCCAGGGAGTTGTGCCGAACCTCTCTGTTTACAAATACAGTAACGATTAAAAGCATAAACAAAAACAGCAGTCTTGGCAGGAGCACCAGCCTGCCAGTGCTGAGGTAAGTGTTCATCTACCTTCTGTGCTTGATCTAAATTGTACCATGAAGTCAAGACTTTCCCATTCAATGACTTATTTGGCTCTTCACCAAAAGGAATTGTCAGAAGTGTGATAAGCATTTAAATCACCTCACTAGTTTGTGTTAATCTAGAGTTGCCATTTCAGGACCAGGATAGCATTTATGAGAACTATCTTAAGTAACACTGGCCAGTGTGGTTGTCAGACAGGATCTCAGGAAGGTGTTTTCCAAATTTTTCAATGACCTAGGGTGACTGCCGTTCATTTCCATAGTCTGGACCCAAATGAGACTTCAGTGCTTAACTAGGCAAAGGTCATCTTATTTAGCTTAAACTACAATTCAAGTAACACACTCCTGATTTTTCATAACACAACTGCCAAATTTATTCCTGAATACTGTGATTTTAATTTTAAGCAAGGATAGATGGGCACAGTCACGTTCTCCAGTGACTAGGAACCATAGCTACAGTAGTGGGTTGGTTTCTTCTCCGTGTAGAGAAGGCAAATGTTCTGCATGTCCTGGTAAGCAACTTTCGGTCCTACCAAAAAAAACCAGCACCATCTTCCTTCCCTCCTGAGTGGAATGTTAATCCTTGATTTGCAATCAAGTAAGAAAAGCTTACTCCTACTGCTCTCCCCTTGTAAGAAACCATTGATATTTTTGAGGACCAGTCATTTGGGCATTGCTTCAAAAGGCACATTTATTCCAGTGGCAATTTAAATCAGTAGAGAAGGAGAGAATAAGATTAAAAACAAAGCAAAAAAAAAAAAAAATCAGGTGGGTTTTATGGAATACATTAAAGTAAACAGGAATCTGGGATCTATACAAACCATTTAGCTCCCTCTCAATAGTTTAACCAGAGTCCCTACGGTAGAATAATTCACAGTTGTATCAAGACACACACAGATCTCCAAAAAATACTGTGTAAAAAAGTAGCTGAGAACTCTCAAGCAGCTTGCCCTGATGTCCAGTTCAAGTGTATGCAATGCAGAAGGGCTGCAAAATTTAAAACTACACAACACACAACAAAGAAAATTCAGTGCAGATAGCAGGCTTTGATAAATTATGAAAAACCATTGTATATATTACTATTTAAATAACATCTGAGAAAACATTTTTAAATAATTAACATGTGTTCACAGTCCATGCATTTTCTAGCAGGTTAAACCCTGGGTTTGTGTCTCTGTGCTGATTTTCTACAAAGGTCTGTTCCTAGACAAATCCAAGCATTCATCAGAACCAAATGGAAGTACCCAGGGGATTTCGTCTACTTACCCTCTTTACTCTGTGCCCGACCTCACAAGGGTCACTTACTATTACCTCTGGCAGAGAAGACGACTGGAAAATCGAACCGTTTGGGGTTTTAGTGGGGGTTTTATTCGCTGCCTTAGAAGAATCCCTGATGCCACAGACACCATCTGAATTTTCTGCAAGGACAAGAACCAGCTGCCGTATCCCTCCCGTTTGCCCACCTCCCTCTTTCAAAGCCCCAGGTGTGCTGAGACCCTCCTGCCTTGCTGGACTTTCCCCCTGTGGTTTCGCAGCACCCTGCTCAAGCAAAGAAGGAAACACGACAAAACTTCAAAACAAACCAACAACAGAAACTCCGAACAAACTGGTGGGCGAGCCGGCAGCCTCCCCCAAGGAGGAGGCTCACTTTTTACTGCAGAATTCGGCGTTGCTGAGGAACTTCTTGATGACCAGCCCCAGGCAGACAACCAGCAGCAGCATGTAGCCCACGGTGCCCAGGAAGGTGGGCGCGTCCGGTGGCTCCTTGAGGAACTGGCGCAGGCCCTCCTCCACGTAATACACCTGATCGTAGATGCTGAGGAAAGTGAAAATGTGGAAGAGCTGGTGGCTGTGGCCGATGATGTCGAAAAGGCCCGGCTGGATGCGCTCGGGGATCTTGCTCACGTTGAAGAAGGCAGCCACCACCAGCCAGAAGTAGCGGCGGTAGAAGTGCACGAAGAGCGTGGGGTTCTCCCCGCGCAGGTCAAAGAGCCAGCTCTCCAGCATGATGGGGCAGGCCATGCTCAGCGGCATGACGAAGACGAAGGTGCGAAGCGCGAACGGGTAAGAGCACCAGTCGGTGCGGCTCTTGCAGCAGGCCACGGTGCAGGCCACCGCCAGCACGAAGGCCACGGGCAGCACGAGCGCGCGGTAGGCGGCGATGAGGCCCGTGCAGTCCACGTGCCAGCCCAGGCGCTGCTGCACGTACGGGGTCATCACCCGGGCGTCCAACAAGCTCAGGCCTGGCAGTAGGTAGTAGTAGTAGGCCACGGTGCTGCCGAAGCCGTAGTAGCTGATGGACGCGTAATCCAGGTAGAAGAAGGCGGCGCGCAGGCGTAGCGACAGGCAGCTGAACACGTGCGCCGTGCAGCTCATGGCGAAGGTCAGCAGCACGCCCGACGCGTAGCACCACAGCGGCAGCAGCCACGGATGGTGGAAGGGCACGTCGCGGCCGCTCAGAAAGAAGAGGCGGCAGAACTTGCTCAGGAACAGCAGCAGCGGGATGAAGTGCGTCCAGAAGTTGAGCGTCTCATTGGTGGGCTTCAGCACCGAGGCCAGGCACTCCTGCGCCGTGCACGGCAGCCGCCGGTAGCCTGACAGGATGAAGCACTCCACAAAGTCGTCGGGCACCTCGTCCCAGCGCAGTAGCGGCTTGGCGGATGCCGGAGAGTCCCTGGAGGCCAAGGCGTGAGGACGCGAGGCGGCCTCCGAAGCCGCCGCGGTCGTGCCAGGCGGGCCTTTTGTGCCCGCGCTCCGGGGCTGCAGGCGCCGCGGCATGGTGCCCGGTGCTTGGCTAGGACGCGCACCGGCGACCTCTGGCGCCGGCTCCTGCGCGCTCGCCAGTCCCCGCCGGCCGCCGTCGGAGCCTTTGTGCGCGCGCCGGGGGCGTCGCTGCAGGTTCAGAAGACCGGAGCCTCTGAACAACCGTTCCTAAAAAATAAAGAAATAAATACAAATAATCATCGATCTCCAAGCCGCGTACCAACCAGCAGGAGCGCGCGGGGCACGGCGGCCCCTTCACCCGGCTCCCCGCTACCGGCTCGCGGCCGCCCGCGCTGACCGCCGCCCCCGGCTCGGGAGGCGGGGATGGGGGTAGCGGAGGCGCTGGAGGGAGGGAGGGACGGGCGCACCGAGGGAGGGCGGGGGCCTCCCGGCTAGTGTTTCGCGGCCGCCTCGGGGGATAGAGTTGTCCCCGGTCTCGAGTTCCGTACCATCCCTCCCCCGCTCCTCGGGTCGCCGAAGCCCGAGCTGGCGGTTAATGATTGATGCGGGGGCCAAAGGCTGCGCCAGCGACTCGGCGGCCCGCACCGAGGGCGAGGATAGGCTTCGGGATTCGAAACCCGACAGCCACGCGGGCGTTCGGGAGGACACTGGGGAGCCGCGTTCGCGGGGGGCGGGGAGCTGCGGCCGCAGAAGCGGGGAAAGAGGGCGGGAGGGGAGCGGCGGGCGAGCCCGAGCCGGGGCAGGGCGCAGGGATGCGCCAGCCGTAATCTCGGAAGCGGGCGGGGGCGCTCCGGCGATCTGGATCAGGCCGTGTCGTTGTCATACCTGGGACCGCTCCTCTCTTGACGTGTGTGTGTGCATGCGTGCGCGCGCGCCGTCCTCACTCTTAGCACCATGTCAAGCGTTGGTTTATCTCCTTTCGTCTAGCGGACTTATTCAGGTGCGTCACCAACCTCCTTTCATCCTTGTCCGATTCAAACGAACTGCCCTCTAAACTGGCCTATGGTCGTGATCACCAGCCCTTGGGGGTCGCAGCCCACCCGTGTTCCTGTGTCTTTAACTAGGAATCTTGTTTGGAGCCCAGAGTCCTACAACTCAGGGCGGGCTGCTCAAACTCAGCATTTTAATGAAAAAATTCAGATGAAGACCAGGGGATCCGGAAAGCCTGTAATGATCTGAGAAATTTTAAGAAGGGATTCCCAAGCAGAGCTGTGCCCGAGTCAAGGGCTGATTATAAGTGGGGATGTTGATGACGCAAGACCTCAGGGAGGAGGTGCGTTCTAGCCCGAATTGAAAAGAGAACGGAGATGAATTCGTGGAGATTGGGAGGGGTGGCTTGGAAAAAGCTTTATGCATAATTTAGCAGAAGTACCTGGCAGGCTAGGTTGAGTGGCTGGAGGCCAGAAGAAAGGAAGACTGAAGAATGGAAAACGGTTGTGATGCACTGCGCTGTGATAATATGCCCTTAAGTCTTGTGAAAAGGGGGACTAAAAAACCTGCCTCCGGTAAAATGTTTTGTCATTTCTAGGAAGTTTCCCTTAGAGATGCCCTGGGGGTGTGACTGAGTCCGACTTGTATCACTGACCTGCTGTATAGTGTCATGACAATAGAGGCTAACATTTAAGGAGCCAGGCATTGTTCTAAGTGCTTTACAGTTTTAAAAATCATTTAGGTATTATTATTTTTCCCATTTTACAGATAAGGAAGTGGAAGCACCACAAGGGTAAATAATGGGCCCAGTTGGCAGAAGGGGATTATGAACCCTGCAAACTGCTTCTGGACCTTATGTACTTAAAGCAGAACATTCAACAACCTGATTTACTCAACTATTTTCATTTCATAAATGAAAGGCCGCTTTCTTCACTATAACAAATCCTTTAAGTAGGTCAAGGAAGGTTTACTGAGTGGTGGCTCAGGGGACTTAAGTTATGGATAAGAATTATTTATAACTAGGAAATCATTCAGTATTGTAAACGTCTAAAATTACTTAAAGGTATCAGAAACAAGTTTCAGCCTTCTCTTTCAAAAACAATTGTTTTTTTTCCTATTAGTAACTGCTTTAGCAAGCTCTTACACAATTAGGCCAAAGGTGCACTTGGGTCTTGTGCCTTTCTGAACTATCAAAAATTCTTTATTGATGGGTTTTAAATAAATGAGATTTTTGCTGTAGTTAACTGTATCTTGTTTTAGTATTTAGTTTTGCTACTGTCTATAGCCTTGTTTTAAAGCAAAACCTAATTTCCTTTCACATTTGGACTAAGGATCCAGGCTAATTTGTAAAAGAGATTAAGCTTCAGGCATTTATAAATCTAACTTAGGAACGATAAAACTGAATCCAGGGCAGACTGGAAAACAAAGAGTTTTTTTCTCTTCTCTTTGTTACTCCACAAACAACCTGAGCTGTAAAAAATGTTTATCTTATAATAATAATTCCCATATTTACCGACCTCTTGGTTGTATAATCAGCTCATTTACGTAATAGGGGAGAATATAATAGAAAGTTCACATCAAGTGAAATAATGGAATTGACTGTAAATAAATGTGAAAGAAACTGATTGGATGAAATAACATTTGTCTTTATGTTCATGGGATGAGACTGGCTATGATAAAAGATGGCGTTCTTTAAAGCACTCTGTATTTTATAAAGTCGAAAAATCCATCGTAACATTCTTATAAATCTTTCAGAAAGTCTTTGCAATTTCTGCTTTTCTCTTTTTTCATGTAACTGCCCTCCCGCACAAGGCACAGAATCTGCTGCAGTTTTGAAGTGGTTTTCCTGAAAGCTCTCCAATGCCAGCCAAGACAGGTGTCCTGACTATTCCCTGACAAAGCCAAGTCAAAAGAAACTAAGGAAACACCACAATTCATCTAACTTATTAAAAAAAAAAAAAAGAACCAGCAATATGATTTTTTCTTAATTACTACCAATGTATAGAATTAATTTTCCTTAAGGTTTTTGAGATATAAAACCTTGTTTCCCAAACCCTACAATGGCTGGCTTTTGTAGTTTATTTTAACTCCAGTAAAATAACTGCCTCTTGGCAGTGAGACTCACAGTCCCATCCCCTGGGCTTGGCTAAACAGAGAGAAACAGTGGGCTGCCTGCCATTCCCAGAAGGTGAACTGGGAGATAAGGCATCTCTAAGGTAACTAGAACTGATTGCGGAGTTCCTGATAGAGAAAAGTTACCCGTATTACATTGGAAAGTCAATGCCATCATTTAGAGGCAGAAACCAGCTAGTTCTTCCCATTGAAATCTTGTCAAACCAAGGTTGCAAGTGTATTTTTTGCAGTTCTGCGGAGACTATGTACCTTTGGTTACTAATGGGTCCTGGCTGCCAAATGCAGTCATTTGTAGAAATTGTAGCAAGCAGAACAAATGGATTTTGTCCTTGTGGTTTGCTTTGATGTTCTTAAAGATCAACTGTAGGTTTATTTGTGTTTCTCTCCATGACAATAAGATGTTCAGTTCAGTCACTCAGTTGTGTCTGACTCTTTGTGACCCCATGGACAGCAGCACCCCAGGCTTCCCTGTCTGTCACCAACTCCCGGAGCCTACTCAAACTCATGTCCATCAAGTTGGTGATGCCATCCAACCTTCTCATCCTCTGTTGTCCCCTTCTCCTCCCACCTTCAGTCTTTCCCAGCATTAGGGTCTTTTCCAATGAGTCAGTTCTTTGCATCAGGTGGCCAAAGTATTGGAGTTTCAGCTTCAGTATCAATTCTTCCAATGAATATTCAGGACTGATTTCCTTTAGGATGGACTGATTGGATCTCCTTGCAGTCCAAGGGACTCTCAAGAGTCTTCTCCAACACCACAGCTCAAAAGCATTAATTCTTTGGTGCTCAGCTTTCTTTATAGTCCAACTCTCACATGACTACTGGAAAAATCATGGCCTTGACTAGACAGACCTTTGTTGGCAAAGTAATGCCTCTGCTTTTTAATATACTGTCTAGGTTGGTCATAACTTTTCTTCCAAGGAATAAGCGTCTTTTAACAATAAGATGAAGCATGTATAAAACTTCCACAGCAAATATAATGTTTTCTAATAAGAATGATGAGATATTTGTAAAATCTGCAGAAAAAAAATATGCTATGATATTTGTTAATACTACACCTGTTTTGGAAGAGGTAATTTTTTTTCTAGTCTCATTTTTAGCCAAAACCAATCAAACAAGCAAACAAAACCCACTGTGAACACTGCTTAATTGCATCCGTGACTGTAGGAAGAGAACTCTAAGGTTTAGTCCCTCCTTAGAATATACAGACTAAACAAAGTGCTTCCCTTTCCTCAAGTTGAAAACAGTCGTAATGTTATCTTCCAAACTTCCATGTTGTTTGGAATTAAAATATTTGTACTATGGGCTTCCCAGGCGGTGCTAGTGGTAAAGAACCCACCTGCCAATGCAAGAGACTGAAAGATGTGGATTTGATCCCTGGGTCAAGAAGATCCCCTGGAGAGGGAAATGGCAACCCACTTCAGTATTCTTTCCCGGAGAATTCCATGGTCAGAGGAGCCTAGTGGGCAACAGTCCATGGGGTCACAAAGAGTTGGACACAACTGAATGACTAACACTTTCACTTTCACTACTATATATAAAATAGATAACCAGCAAGGACCTACTGTATAGCACAGGGAACTATACTAAGTATCTTGTAATTTATTGTATCTTCCAATATACCTATAATCTAGAAGAATCTTGAAAAGGTGTATATATATATATATATGTATTATATATATATATGTATTATATATATATATGTATGTATGTATAACTGAATCACTTTGCTGTACACTTGGAACTCCCACAACATTGTGAATCAACTATGTTTCCATAAAAATTTTAAAAAAGCAAAAACGAAACAAACACTTTCATGTCAGATGTGATCATTACCAGATTATAGAATCAGATGCTTGATGATGGAAAAGCTTCTGGCAGTGGCATCAGGTATAACTATGGCAACTTTCAGGGCAAAGTGCAATCCAAATGTTGGGTGGAGGGCTGGAAATGATAAAGTGATGGGAGACTGAGTTCTTATCTGGCATAGTTCCTGTCTGGTAACTGACATGGTGGCAGGACTCTGTCCTTTTTTAGCCACACCACAAGGCTTGTGGGGTCTTAGTTCCCTAACAGTGATTGAACCTTCACTCTTGGAAGTGAAAGTATGGAGTTCTAATTACTGGACCACTAGCGAAGTCCCAACGGGCTTCCTTTCTGAATAAAAGCTAAGGGAGCCTTGTTGAAGGTTTGCCTTTTGAGATTCTTTGCCGGAAGGGACAGCTCCAGACTCCCCTCTGTCCTACAGGTTCACCTGCTCTCTACCAGTGGTCTCCAAAGTGGGCTGCATAGAAAGACTAAGAGGAAGAATAAAATGCCACAACTTCTCTTTCAGTAGATCTCATCCTTCTAAATATGTTGGGGCATGGGGCGCATCTAAGCACTGGCTGATAAAGGGCACGCAATCAAAACTGTCCACTTCTGCCCCATAGTCCATTGCTCTTGTTTGTTCCATCTGCTTCCATCTCCTCTCCTGGACTCAGGATAGACTCCCCTTTCTTGCCTCTCAGG